ATTCACCTTGGGCCCCCCTCATTGTGAAGGGGGCGGTGGGGCCGTTACACGCCCGGGTACAAATGACTATACCGAAAATAATAATATTGAGATCGAGAAAAAAATTATTTCTTTCACGAATTTCAAATGCATGGCAAAGCTATATTGCTATTTCACGCGGCAATTCACAATATTTCTTAATCTAGTTCATATATTCTATGTTCCAAATACTAGAATAGATATCCAAGAAGTCATTGATTTAGCGATAGATTGCGTGAAACCGCACTACAAAAATTAATAGATGCCAATCACCTATTGAATTATCCTAGTAAAAATGATATGATGACTGAATAACCTACTCACAAAGACTAGTTACTGAAACTCCTATTGAGAATGATCATGATTTAAATGATAATTGTATTTTATTACTATAAAGAAGCCTTTCAGGCATTCCTACTCGATGAAAAAAAATTTGAGTACAAAGAAAATGCAACTTCGAATACATATTTTTTCAAGTTGTCGTAAAAAGTTTCAAAATATTATAATTATAAAACTTTTACTCATTTAATTAATTATTATATTATATTTTCGTTGAGCATAAAGGTTCTCAAATAAATTTACACTTTCGATATTGAGAATTTTCTTTATTTAACCGATGTAATAAATTTATCGATATTTTACTATATGCTTATGGGAGCAAAGAAAATTGACATAATTATCCATGTTTCCTGGAACAATAATCTCACTCAAATAAGGAAAGTATTATTTGTATTTTTACCCTTCAAAGTTCAAACTCCACATTATGTTGTAGTTGAAAGTTCCATAATACAGATTGTCATGTCACAGTCCCCTCAAAGAATGATGAAAACATACCAAGCACAATTATCAAAGAGGAACTGTAAAAAGATGCAGCCAAAGACGTAAAAAAATTATACAACAGTAGAATTTTAAGGAGATGATTCGTCTTATAACTTCCAACTTCGCGTGCTCGAGCAGGTTGATAAATAGGATCGAAGAAAGTACATCTTGGATGACTTCCAGATGAGGCAAAAATTGCATTTCGAAACAAATGGAGAAATTATTGGTCCACTATTGAGACATATGATCTGCTGCTACAAAATCAATGCGCTGATTATTGGTCCACTATTTTGTCTCTGGTTTCCTCCTCTTAGAACAGGGCCAAACTTTATATAAATATGAAAAATCGAATAATTTCAAAATCCTGGCAAAATTGAGAGGTCTGCTATTCCCTTTGGAAGGTCTGAAATTTTCTTGAGTAGTGCTAGCCTGTTCTTTCTGATTCTTTCATCTTCCTGCAGTCAGATTTTGAAAGAACGCAAATTTAGACATGCACCCACAAAATAGAAAAGTATAATCAAACAACTGCACCATAAGTTCGCATAAAGAACAGAAGTTAGTCAGACAGATCATTCTGTGGTTTGTTTTAACAGCAAAGTAGCACAGTGATATCAAGTTTACACACATAAACCAGGAACCCATGGAAAGAAGTTGGAATTACTAATGTGTTGGACAAATCAGTTCAACACTTGCCACGTGTAAAATTATGTACGGCATGTGGTACTACGCAAGCTTTGCATCTCAAAGAATCAAACAATTTCGTTTGTAGATATGCTGAAACCTCTGTATTATGTTAAACCAAGGTTAATACTTCTAAATTAGGGCCTATCTGATCATGTCTGTCAAAGGAAGATCAGGAAAATGGACTTCAGGGTAAGGGAAGCATTTAGAAAGTTTTCAACTTCTATGCTTATATTAAGTTTCTGGCCAAATAGGATATGCCAGCACGTAAAGCTCAAACAAATTGCAAAACTGATACATATGTAAGCCTATCGCATCAAATATATAATGCTTCTATAAGCAGGCCAAGAAATTAAGCAAGTTTCATAGATTATTATCAATTTATAGTGTAGTAAAAAGGAACATACCACCATCACAAATACGTGATTGAAGAAATCCTCTAGTGGCTGTAACAGATCAGACGATGCTTCAACAAAATCATCTACTTCCATGTCTGTGTACAGAGAACATATGAGTTACACAGAAGGTTTAAAAAAGGAAAAAATAAATCAGCAGTGCTGTGTAAATATGTGACCTCGTCATTACAAAACAAGAAGTCACATATAGGAGAGAGAGTGATACCAGGACGAATTTTAGTCTTTAACGACGTGAAAGTGCTCCACAAAGCTCTCTCTTCCTTTGTCTCAAAAGCTTCCTCATCCACCTAACAGGATATATTTAAGTAAGTGAGTGAAACTGAATGTGGTAAAATGCAACTGTACAATGACAAAATGGCATCAGATATCGAGCCATGTCAAAATTGTACCCCAGAAAAACTATCAAAGTATATATAATTCAACATGACATTGCAGATTAGAAGAGAAGATTTCTTGCTGGACAACAAATTGCAACAAAGTTTTATTGACTAGGAGCAAAAATAGATCCTTCTTTTCCATGTCTTCACGATTTATAACTATGGGCAATCTCAGAGGAGTAAAAGGCAATTGCATAATTAGAAAATATGTTTAGAAGTTGGGTCCAAGCCCCAGATTCCATATTTGTACCGAAATACTTGTACCTATTCATATATATGATTTATGAAGTGAATGTATGTGACTTATGAGTCGGTCCAGGACTCTTCCAGCGGAAAAAGAATATATCCAGATTAATTTGTGGATCAGGGCAAGGCATGTAGAAGGTATTGAGGATCCACCCAAAGCCAAAAATTCAGGGATATACCGGACAATGAATTAGATCCTATGCTCCAACCATTATTACTTATAATTGTAAAGATAAGTGTTTCTTACACAATTTTCTATATGTATCTCTCACATTTTATGTTCACATCATTCTATAGTTGATTCTACCAGCTCTACATCATGTACAGCAGTCAATTGACCCACCACACCAACATTGGAATAACACCACGTAAATACCTAGTGAGAAAGCCAGTAATACAAATACGATTCATACAATGCTAAACTCATGTTCACATCAAAAGGCTACTAGAATGATGGATTCTGGCCTAATAAAATGCCTTGCTTCTGCATAAACCAACTGCACAGTGCTTCCATTATTATTATAGCCTAGAGGCATATGTTTTCCTAGAGACTAATGTAGTTACACACAAAAGTTGGTGTGGGACAACATCCAAAGGGCGAAAAACAGGAACCAAACTGCAAGACATTCATGGACATTCATTTCAGCTGGCACGAAGGTAAAAGACATGATGAAATAGATCTTCCAAGCCAATAGCTCTCGAAATGGCTAAAAGTTACATATATAATTCCAAAACAAAAACCATCCAAAGCAAATCCAAAACCCAGATTATAGCCAACTGTAACCACGCCACAAAGAGTAAGAGTCCGACAAGTATTTTCTCATATAATATCGTGCAAAGTTTAACACTGAGGGGAAAAAAAATTCCAGTACCAGGAGTAATAATCAACTTTAAACCTTTGTTTTCTAATATAATTTATCAAGTAAAGTGATTTAAAACCTTAAGTCTTTCTTTTCTAACTAATTTACAGTACAAATTTACTACTCAATGCTAATATACCCAGGTAGACAGCTTGAAATATCATGGAAAAAAAATGGAAAATAGAATGGACATTTTATGCTACTGCAAAAATAATTTTGTTTTGAAGTGAAAGAAAGCACCTCCAAATCATCATTGATGTCCTTTCCACGGACAATTCTTGTTGGACGAGAATATGCTTCGACAATTTTGGACAACAGCTCACCTCTTGACAAGGCTTCCATCTGCAAACAACGCAAATGATATATATTACATCCATAATACTTAACAGTCAACAAAACACTAATTTGCTTATAGCATTTTCAAATTCAGTAGAAAACACGATGATGTTCTACCTTTCTTGAAAAAGCTTCTTAGAAATAAAAAAATGTACCACAAGAAATGTCATTTCTACTTTAAAGATCACAATATAAAAGAGGAAATAATGTGGAAGATGCTGAACTGCTTCCACAAGAACATCCGTGCTCAATAATAAAGAGCAATAGAAAATATTTTGACTCCTTTTCATTTCTACTCTCTCCATGCCATCCCCATCTGGGACCAACTATTAAATGTGTATTTTTCACCTTCTCAAGTCACTCTGCCTACCCGTTGCTTTTGTCTGGTTCTCCTGAAGTAGGGTTATAATTGGAAAGTTTCAAAAAAATGGTTTGACTCTTCAGACTGGATTCTGACGCTGAAATGACCAATAAGGGAAGTAGGACATTCACAATGGGGTGAAGGGGGGGTTACTTTTTTGCATGTATATAGAAGCCATTATCTTTGCTAAGTCCCTTCATGCTAAAACATTTTACCATGTATCAAACTTCGCTTCAATACTCTCAGTCTATATTGTCAATAGTTAAGATTTAAGAATATAGTTTCAAAAGGTCAAATTAGCTATCCTAACTTAAACACAAGGAAAAGTTAATAAAGAGTAGAAATGCGAGTATGATAAGCACATGGATGGATCGGGAAAATATATACATTGATTATGAAAATTGTTACTTACAGAAACTATATTGCCACATTGATTATGAAAATTGTTACTTACAGAAACTATATTGCCCACAAAAGGTCGACAATCTGACTTGAGGAAAAAAAAAGACATTACCTGGGTCCATAATTGTAATTTGGTCTGCAGCGATCACACTTATTTGAGTTGTTTGTTAGGATTTCCCCGACTTCTTTCCCATTATTTGAAAGTGAAAATTTTGTATTTTTTTGTCTAAATAGTTTCTTAGGCACCAGATTCCGGATTCGTATAAAAAACTTCAGGCATTTAGCTTCAGAAGAACAATACATGTTTTTCGTAACCCATGGGACAGTTAGTAAGTAGAAGCACATCTTGAGGTTGAATGGAGCTTGTGGAAAGAGAGACTGACTCGGCAGAGAAACATAAAAAGGAAGAAAATTTGGCATATCATCAGTTGGAAGCCACAATAAGTACGATGAAATCTCATCAGTTTTACCATAATAAATACAATAAATAACTTGAGCATTCTTTATTCACGTGTTGATAAGTAGTTCTCACTTTGAATACAAATCCACAAAAAGAAAACCATTACTTACTTTATATGCAGACTTTGTTGCCAAACAGGGCTGGTTTGCACGTTCTGCAAGAACAGAGCGAACCACTTCTGGACTTATTCCTTGGTCCATCTGGCACAAAAAACAAATAAAATGAATGAAGTGTCATAAATACCTAACATTCATTCACAAACAGCGCACATTCTGGAAAAGAGATTACACATTTATCGCAACTCTCAAGGGTATTCCAAAGAAGAACAAGAAACATGACTAACAATAATTGGAAATCATTACACTGAGGAAACTATTTGCAGGTCACTATGAATCCCTTTTAAATCTTTTGAGGATATAAATAAATAAACTTCTTCCAATATGTTAAGTTCTTGGAAAAGGTGGTTCAAATAAATTATTTTATTTACTGTTAAAACAATTTAATAGCAATCAACAAAGAACACAACTTAGCATCAAAATCATCTCCTTTTTATTGAGATAGAATGCACAAAAAAGTCACTATGTTTACATCAAAAACCAGGTTCTTAAATTCCATGACCGACAAGGATGCATTTTTATGCTTTTAATCTGGTGCCTACTCTAATATTTTCAAGAACTATATTGAAAGTAAGTTTTCTATGAATTCTGGACGAGCTTAATATTTATGTATGGGTTACGATGCAAAAGATATACAGTCAAAGGTTAATAGCTTTCACAAGTAAAAGTTGTACATACCAGAAGCTGTTCAAGTCTCCTCGTTACAAATTGATGTACCTAAAACGAAAGAGAGGAGATGATCAAATTTTGAATTTCTGATCAGGAGATTAAGAAAATAACGCATCCAAAACACCATGCCATGGCTTATTTTAGATTAATCTACAAGGATACATCTGGTGAAGCAGATGAAAGATGGTAGTAATTTGATAACATATTCGACATTAAAAGCGGTAATTTTATCGGACAAATTTAATAACAAGCAACAGAGGGGGGTGATAGGTTGTCTACTGCAAAATTTGACCTTCATAGAGCAAAAAAAGACACTTACATTATCTATTGTATCCGCAGCCACATTTATGGGTTGAACAGCAGCAGCAAGTTCTAAACCATGCCTTAGATCTAAATCTCTATTGGTTTCTACCAGCAGTTGCACCTACAACACAAAGACAGCATTGTTTACACTCAGTGGAAAATGAAATTTCTATGACTATATGGATATGACATACGAGACCATAAGATATTCTCCGCAAGCCAAAAGGGTCATTACTGGAGCTTGGCTGACAACCAGCAGCAAATAAGCCAACAAGGCTTTCCAACCTGCAAGACATAGCACAATATCAAACCATAAAGGGAAATACCACAGGCAAAAAGACAAAAAGAAAAATCTGCCCAGAAGACAACAGAAAATAACACGAGCACGTGCACATTCACTATACATCAAACTTCAGCTCTGAATCAGGAATGAACCATAACCACTACCTTTTCCAGTATATGGAATAACATACCATGACAAACATCATAAAAAATTATCTTAGATCATGTGAGTTCACCATTGAGAGAGTATTAATATCAGGATGGGTAACTATATTGAATTTAATTTATATAGCTAAAACGATGAAATGAATCAGAGCATGATAAAAAAATATCGAAGAGAAAATGAAGTAAATTTAAATTTATGTTTGCTTCAGTTTCTTAATGCATCAACCCTCTATCACTTATTACAAGAAAAAAGAATTAAAAGCCCAAGTCCGAAACAGAGATTTGATTCTATCCTTAAAAAAAGCCAACTTCGATTAACAATAACAAATAGAAACCAAACCACTAGCCGAAGTGCCCTTATCTATAAAAGTTCACAGAGATTAAACGAAAACTCTTATGCTATAACTCATCTCAAAAATAGTAATATATGACTATTTATGGGGCTATGATAGCCTGATTATTCTCTCATGTCTTTACACTTCCTTTTTCAAGGGAAAATGCATCCCTATAATTTTAACAGCCAGGCAGGACGAGGAAAGAAATTTATATTCAACAAGAAGCTTGTGAATCTTTCATTGCAATAGCTCCATCAGACGGAAGTCGCGATCAAAGATATCCATTGCTATGGCATGAAAAGCAAGGATAAAACATATAAGGGAGAAGAGTTATAGATAAATTTCGACAAGGTAGTTTGCATTATAATCAAAAAATTAAGAATTGGTAATAATTGCCTTCTCGAACAAATATGAATTACACCCTTGTTTGGTTTAGTTAAAAAAGTTGATAAAAATATAAGTTAAAGTGAACAATTAATTTTGCCCACATTTCGTGAAACCTACAACTTTTATCAACTTTTCAATCACACATTTTATCAACTTTTATCAAAATATACTAAATATTTGATTTTAGCAAAACCAAACAGGGGCTAAGTTTTATGCATATATGGGCAGACCACTGGAAATTTCCCATTTCCTTTTACTTATCCAAATTAGACTTCATCGAACTTCAATTTCTTACTACTGGAGTTAGGAGAAGGGAAGGGTCATACAAGAGACAATAGTTCAATCTATTGGTGTACAGTTACTTAATCAGCTGTGTGAAGAAAGTCTACTGATCTAAATCAAATCACAGCAGGCACTGGGACTTGTGGTGACATAAATAAAAGCAATCCTAAAATGTAACTGAAAATCCACTTTCAAATATGAGTGATAATTAAGCATTCATTTATGAAAAAAGTACCACACATCGTGCATGTTGCTCCGTTAAATCTAACATCCCAAGGACTCGCACAGAAAGAAGAAACTAGCATGTATCTAACCTATCAGTTATGGCCAATACTGTCCCAGCATCAGTTTTTGGAAGCATGTCTCCTGAAAATCGTGGAAGTGTAATCTCAAACAGTGCCTCTGCAATCTGTTATTATGAAGAAAATGAACGGTTAGAGAAACAAAGTTGAATTTGACTGTCGAAGAAAGACAGCTATATTGGATTTTGGCAAACCTAAACAAGAAATGCATGTCCCATTTAATGCTTAATTTCTTTTCAGTCTCACTGCATATCCATCAGAATGGTATTCTTATTTATTTATTCTGTTTGAAAAGTTGAGATCTTATGCAATTAGCACACAGACTCACAAGTTCATAAGCAAGAGTAGGCAGCTAGACTGAGAATTCACGTGACCCAAAGCTTTTTGAAAGCGATTATAAACTTTATATGAATGTAAGTTCAGTTTATAGTCGACAATTTTAACTGTCTGCCCCAACTTCCACTGCACAAAGCAAAAGATAAAAGCCGGGCCAATTTGCAGAACTTTAATATTGTTTCATAAATACATGAAGGGAATATTGGTTGTGGAATTAAGAATCTTGAGATGTTCTGTTGCATATTACTTTACATCAGATTATTACATTATCTCAGTATGTCTAGGTAGTGACTATTTCATTACTTATGCTCAACAAGAGACATCACCAGTCATTGATATAATATTGTAAGTATGACTTTTACTAGATTCAAAACTATTGAAGCAAGACATTTTGTCAGTGCCATAGGTCTGAATAACTTGGTAACAATGACCTAACCGCGTGGAGGCATCCGAACCGGCGGACGATAGTGGGATTTACCTTTTCTAAATTTTCCTCAAATAAAATAGATCAGGTTACCCAACTAGAGCAATCAAATAGTGAAAAAATATATATATATATACTGACAACCATTAGAATAGATGATAAGGCAATGTTATGCAAACAACCTGCTCTGAATAGCCATCTCTAAGAGCATAATGACGCGCCATTATCCCAGAAAGGGAGGTAAATTCAGTAACAACTGCGGTGACAAGATCTGTCATGGCTAATGATGCAGCGCTCTTGATGACTTGGAGTGTATCTCCACTTATCCCCAGAGACAAGCCCACTTCAGTAACCAAATGTTGGACGCGCGTCATCTTGTCCAACATTGTCCCCAGCTTCTCCTGTTCATTAAATTATCAAGATACGAGAACTGCCAGAAACCGAAAGGATTTTCTGGATGGACTTGCTTCTATCTCCGCCATTAAAAGAATATTACAGAATTTCAACTATTTGGGGCATTTAGGTATCCAAAAAAGGAAAAATAAACAAAAAGGAGTAATTGCACAAACATTACATTTACAACATTTCTTTAGCTTGTTGCTCCACTGTGAAATTAGTAATATAAAAAAAAAACTTCAATTTTACCCAAAATCTACACAGTTTTGATTTCTCCTAGATACTAAAGGCAAAAATAGAGCTGTGGATTTCCCACGAGCTCTGATCAATAGCTTCAATAATCAGATAGAATGAGCCAGATGACCTCAGATTACATTAATATTATTAGAACTTACGTGAAATAGAATTCCATTCAGTTGACTTCGAAATTCAGAAAATCTTTTAGTTGTGTCCACCTCATAGAAGAACTTTGCATCTTCATATCGAGCTCTGCAATGATATTAAATTATTCAATCATGCGCTCAAACCATTAAGAAAAGGTACAGAAGGTGGAGAAAACTTGGATATATACAGTCATTCTTTGAAAATACTACTAGTTGCCTTATAAGCAAACATTTTGACACAACGTGATTTAGAATATATTCAAGTAGACGTAAGATGGAAAAGAGGATCAGTATAAAAGTGGAGTGCATCAACCTAAGTACAGCTTCATTTCCTTTCCTTACAACCATTTCATTGATTGCCCCATTTGCAACCTAAACAAACAACCAGAGTCAGATGATCCTTATTACCTTTTCACAAATAATATCAATGATTTTATGGGTAAAGTACATGGTTAGAATGTCTCACAGAAATGAAATATGGCAACAGTTTTCCTCCCTGATCAGTTATTGCAAAATACTTTTGGTGCTTCTGCATGACCTGCATGATCCATGAAACGGGCACCTTAGCATGGCAATAATAAATATGAACTGCTCCTGCCCAGAAAAATGGTAAGAGAACAAGCGCGTATAGTTGCAAGTTACTACAATGAGAAATTTCATGTTCTAAAACAAATGAAATATATGAGAACGCAATGATCAATTATTTTCAAGAAAAGAAGAAATCAAAGTCAGATGGAAATATGCTGCAAATAATAAAAGAAAGTTAATGTAGTAAGGTGTTACCATTATTAGCAGATCTTTTGGAAGCTCTAAGAAGGACTCGTTAAATTTACCAAGTACTGGAATGGGTTTCTCAACAAGATTTGCAACCTATGTATGAAGGTAGCAGTTATAATAGAGAGTCTCAGTGACTAAATCAAAGCAAGAACCACAACCTGTTTCATACCTCATCAAGTAAATCATTCTGCAAAATGATAATGCCACCAACACTTTTGGCCAAGGCATTGGAGTGATCCAAAATTGTCTGCTTGCGTTGCTGCAAAATAAATAAAATTCACCAATGTAACTTCAACACTATGCTGGTTCAAATAATGTAGGAAGAACCTATATAAGAGATCATTTATAATTAAATACCTCCATACTGATGGCTATTCCAGCATGCTGCATCACATCAGTATAAGATTCTGCACTTGCTACCTACGAAAATGTGATTAGTGAGTCCATGTAAGCATCAGCATATAGATAACACCAATACAAGAGACAGACAACTAGACTTTCCCGTTGAAGAGAAATATGAAAAAAAATTGTTTCCAAGGTATCATTATCATTAAACTCGCTATCAAGCAATGGATGGGATTTAAATACAGTAAAATGGTTAGAGCAAACAATGGAATATATGGGATTTCTCATGGAATAGGTTAAGCAATGAAGTTTGAGAAAAAAGACATGATTCTCAAAGAATGTGCTTATAAACCTGTACGTTTGTTCTAATCTTTAAATAAATTTTCAAAAAATGTGACTTAAAGCTTCAGAAAAATGCAAGTTATAGATGATTTAGTTTCTGAATGAGGGAGTTCTAAAGGGTTCTAAATAGTGCTTGGCCTTGTAATTAGGGGAAAAAATAAATAAATAAAGAAAGAAAGAAAGAAAGAAAGAGACCACAGAACCTTGTATTTTAAAGCATTGAAAGAAATTTAACTGATATGAAGTGACTAACTTTCAAATGGCAGTAAAATTTACAAAATCATTCTACCTAATTAATCTTTCGTCATTTCCTGTAATGCAGAAGCAGTTGGAGAGCAACCAAAAAAGTGAAGAGATTTTGAAACTTTCCAGCAGAAGAGATTTGAAAAAATGAGGCTCCAACAAAGTGGCTAGTTTTACAAGTGAAACCAATCAGAATACTTTAAAAGGTGAAACGGAAAAATAGGACAGGTTTGCATTACTTGGAAATTCATGCAAGAATGGAATGAGAAGACTACTAATCAACAACTTTTGCAGGGTGGTACAAGATGGCGGAACCTTTGTCTTTTGCAACTAAGTTGAGTGACTAGGCATGTAAATAAGCTCCATTTTGTTGGTATTTACATAGAAGTTGGAAGTCTTCTCTGTTAGTCCGGTAGCACGGACTTCAAAAATGTTTAAAGTGTGACCAGATCTAACAAGCAGGTGGAGGATAATGATTCAAGTAATGGGAATCAAATTACATCTTTCAATTAACATGAACATCTTTTAAGGGAATTGTTAATTTACTTTTTCCATGAAATAGTATTACTTGTGGTTTTTTTTCAGCATAAACTTGTACTAATATCTTTGTTTTGCTATAACTAGTTTGCAACTTGTCTTGCGCTAGCAGCACTCAACCTATATATAAAATTATTATCAAAAGAATAGATTGGAACTCATTATCTCAGATAAACATCAGAGTAAATTATAGTAAACTTTACAGACACCCTCTTCTTTTCAAAAATTATAGAAAACTCCCTGAAGCTTGGTTTCCCGTCAGCCAAAAGTAAATACATTATAACCCACTTTTCCTTGTATTTATACCACATTTGATACTATCATCAAATAATACTATCATTTTTTTATCTCAATTTCTTAAAAAAAATCATATAATATGTTAATAGGAGAGGTTTTTTTAGCTGAAAGAATATTGTTTAAATAAAACTGTAAAAGATAAACTTGTTTCTTAAAATAATTTCTACCTCTTTCAATACAACTGAAAACAACTTGTTTGTTTATATATAATCAACAAATTAACTTATATACATGCTTTAGAATAATTCAATTAAGATGATTTAAAAAGGAAAAAAATGCCTTTTAATTTACAAATTCAAGTCTAATAGTTTCTAATTTGATTGATTCGGTTCATTTGCAATTAAACAGTACGATACTATGAATTAAAATACATTTTTTCTTGATTTAATTTGATGCAAAGCGAAGAACCTTACTAGAAAAGAGATTTTCATGTTTCCAAAGGTGGTCAAACTTATGAAACTTAAATGAATGATAAGGGGGGCGGGGTAATAATTAATGCTAATACAAATATAGTAAAAAACCTGTATTTCAAATGAATAAATTCCTTTTCTAGTCAAAATTTTGGATCTATTTTGTTAATTATAAAAATAAAAATCTTAATTTTGAATATTAAGTTATAATCACTTTATGCAAAAAGATAGAAAAAACAAAGAAAGAAACTAGCTTCCTTTAAGCTAAAAACAATGTTCACGTGAATAATTATAAAAATAAATAAAAAAGAGAAAGAAAATAGTTTCAAATCTCGCTAAGCTAAAAACAATGTTTACGTTCTTACTTATAAAAATAGTTTCAAATCTAGTATAAGATAAAAGGGCAAATTGTTAATTTATATATATTTATTTTTGCCTTCGTGGATGTTCTATATTTTTAAAAAGGCAAGGGGGGTAAATGCAATACTCATATACCTTGAGGGTGTACTTGTATCTTAATATTGTTTTACAACCTCATGATCATACCTTAACAGTAGCTGATGGAGTATTTCGAAGTCCGTGAGAAAGATTTCCACTGTGAATAAAATAGAGCAAAGAATTATATACAAGAACATCAAAATCAGACTACAAGCATACCAATGCAATTTTAAAGGTCTTAACATTCGTGAACCTTCAAAATAATATATAACAAATCAAAGAAATAATATTAACGTTTTGTCAAATGAATTTACAAGATCAAGAATTATCAATGTGTAAAGAACAGTTTCTCGATTTCTTTCAAGGGAAGGGAAGGGGGGAAGGAAAGAAAATAATTCCCCATTGCAGTCAGTCATAACTGATGTGAGATGGAACATCATTTGAAAAGGGAGAAACATTCAATATTATGTTTGTCAAATATAAGAATAATCAATAATTACAATAAGGCAGAAAAGGGAGAAAAATTCATTTTCTCTTTATTTCCCAATACATCAGGTTTCAAGTTTTATATTGATAAGGCTAGTTCTTCCTTTCAAATAAATATGTCCTACCAAAAATAATTAAATAATGGTACTACATTTCTACATAATATCTTATTAAATAACTTCCAACCTGACTATGCACCTGTGCCTTTTAGAAGCAAAAGGGCAATAAAAGAAACAGGGTAATTTATAGAGAGAAGAAGATATCCCTATTAATCTATTAAATAACAATGTAATAGAATAGGCACTCTTTGCCCTAGAAGAGTAGAGAGAAAAATTGTATAAATTTCCTCATACTCTACTTGCTTAGCAACGAAATACATATTTTAGCCAAAGATCATGAAGTTCGATACCAAAACTTGCCTTAGAACACCAGCATACATGAAGGGAACAGCCACGTCTCCATGCAGTGCCAATATCCACCGGATGGGCCTACTGAACATGACCTATATAAGACAAAGCTGACAAAGAGTTACATTGATTTTCAACAATTAGTGCATAATAGAATAGAATAAGGACCAAACGAGAACAAAAATATATGGAAAATTTGCACGAGAAAGGCACTATGACTAGAAAGGACCAAGTAGGTGTGAGAAAATGAAGTATTGCAAACACGCTTATGTTTCTTTATAATGCCCAAAAAGTTCAGAATATTCCAGAAATCCCATTCCATCAAAGTTGGTTGTTCTATCACTGCAGAGTTGGTCTTGGCAATGTTGATGGCAGTCCTTCAATTGCTCCCCTCTCTATTACCTCAACTTTCTGTCTTAGCACCAAAATTTCCAGAAGAAAAGGAGCAAAACCCAAAAGGTTACTCCACAATAAGACAGAAAGGTAAAGAGCTTGGGTATGTGTGATGAATATGCATCTCAGAAAGGGTTGAAAATAGGAGGAATTTTTATGACATTCTTTTAATGGCAATGGTGAAATAAGGAACAAGACCACTTGATCTAGAAGCTTAAATTGTCATATAAGAAGGGTGTCACTATTTGCACCCACGGTTTTTATATATACATCCACTTCTAAAAGATAATTATATTGTATTTTTAATCTTATGTAAATTTACCTAAATAGACATATATAAAATTAAATAAAAATATATCGTTCTAAATTCATCTACTCATTTTTATTTTCATTAAACTCTTTTGAACCTTTTCATATTCTTTTAGAATTTGTGTTTAACTAAAATTCTAATAATCAGAGTCCTCTTCCAATAAAATCATAAAACCCTAATAATCATTAAATATCATTTTCAACTGAAATCAAAACGACAATGGAAGAGACTCCATTAGAGGATTTTTATTTTACACTAAAAGATGAAAGTTGTGATTTGATTCTAGATTTACTTCGTAACTCATTGAAGAATATGGTCGTTCAACAACCACAACAAATAATAAAAATCTTATTTTGTGAAAAGATAATTACTTTAGGTTCCTAAATTAACTCTAGGCATTATGTTCAACCAAGAAGTTGCTTTTTTAGAGCGTGTGAGCATAAATTCTAAGTATCAATTGATGAAAATAACATATTTAACCCCCGATGAGCACAACAGTTGAACCCTTCTATATTTTTTTGCAGATCTTCTCATTCTTGGGTTATACTTTATGTAAGTGTATTATAATAAGTCTATTGCAGTCTGCAGACCTAAACAAGGTGGAAGAATCTTCACATTACCTTAAGTTTCAATTAGGACATTAGGTACTAGATTTTCAGAGTTGTACTTGTGTATTTGGTTTTACTAGTTGATGACAAAGTGAATTTTATTTCAAAATTCATATATAAATTTTATTCTGTTTAAAAATTATGCGTAACCTCAAAAAGTTGTTTTTTATCAAACACAAAAATGAATATTTGTCAATCAAATATAACAGACCAATTCAAGCGAATAATACACCTATGGGCTATTTAATTTTATTTTGAATATAATATTTTGTCTATAGAATTAATTATTGAATTGTAAAACGATTAATGTTATATGTAATGGGGGATGAATATGGTGATTTTTTAAAATTTTGAAATTGTATTAGGAGTGTATTTAGCCCCTGTTTGACACCCATTTTGGAGAAAAAATAAATTCTGGAATAGTGATTGATGGAAGGATGTGTGGTTGAAAAGTAATGAGAATTTTTGGGTTTATGTGTAGTATTATTTTATTGATAGAATGTGAGAATGTGTGGTTGAAAAGTAATGAGAATTTTTGGGTTTATGTATAGTATTATTTTATTGATAGAATGTGTGATTGAAATGAAGAAAGAGAAAAAAAATGAGAATGAAAGTGAGAAGAAAATGGGTGTCAAACGGGGCTTTAGAGTGTGATGGATATATAAAATTTGTGTGGATATACGGTGTTTAAATAAATGAATTCAATAAGGACAATATTGGAGTATGACGTGAATGACAATAGTAATTTTTTTAAAATTTTAATATTTCGGTAGGGATGAATATAGAGTGAGATTAATATATAAAAACAGTGAATGTAAATAGTCGTACCCTATAAGAATGTATATCATTTAAATCTTATGTTCGATACACCCCCTCAGATGTAGGTAGGATTAATTTTTTCCCATTAAAGCCTTGGACTTGCACAGTTTTTAATAAACAGGTGGTGGTGAGATTTCAACCAGGAACTTCCTGATCTAAAAACTTAAGCTATCAAAATAGACTACATGTCCATCATTTGAATCTTAATAAGGAAGGACTCTCTAATTTCTTGTTTAAAAGGAAAATATAGTTTCGATAAGTTAAGCTTTTAATCTTTCCTTACTTGAGTTAGCTATTTAATTTACAACTTGGCCCTAGAACTAGTGGGAAGAACTGACTTGATCTCAAGGCTACAAGATGTAACCAATCTCTTGTAGGTTAATTAATTGTTTTCATCTCTCAGTGAGAAAAGAGAGAAAGAGTGTTTGTGTTGGAGACCAGATGGAATCTTTTCAAAGCATACTAGAAGTTAAAAGTCAAAAAAGAGTGAAGGAGCACAATTTTGCTTGTGGGTTTTGATAAAGTTACTGGAGGAGAGGGAGAGGGTGTAGGATCATTTATTATTAAATATGCACAATTGGAGATGAATAGCACGAGGAAGGAAGGCAAAGCCAAAAAAAGGTCCGTTTCGGGCTAATGTGGAGGAACAGGCGATTGCATATTTGGAGCGCTTGGATTGTCAGCGCTCAAAGAAAGTGGCATAACTTTTCCATACGGTGTCCGTTTTGGGCCCAGAACCCCATTTCGGAAAGCTCACGACGATTCGGATTGAACTCACCGCTTCGCCGTGACCTATGATGGATTTTGGACGTTTGACGTCGTCTTCCTAGTCAAAACAGCGTTTTAAGTTTTGTCGTTCGTTAATTTTAATGTTTATTCGTTTTGCTTTGTAGCCCAGCCCATTTCCGGACTGTTGGCCCAGTAAGTTAACTGTTTTCTTTCATATTTAAAGCTCTCCAAACGTTTGTAGGTTTTTGGGTTGTTCAAGAAAACTTTTTTTTTTCATATTTAAAGCTCTCCAAACGTTTGTATGAATTTCTTAGAGAGCAATCTGTTTTCTCCTTATTATTGTTTGGTTTGTAGTTTCGAACTGCATCAAATCTCTTGTAGGTTAATTAATTGTTTTCATCTCTCAGTGAGAAAAGAGAGGAAGAGTGTTTATGTGTTGGAGACCAGATGGAATCTTTTCATAGCATACTAGAAGTTAAAAGTCAAAAAAAAGTGAAGGAGCACAATTCTGCTTGTGGGTTTTGATAAAGTTACTGGAGGAGAGGGAGAGGGTGTAGGATCATTTATTATTAAATATGCACAATTGGAGATGAATAGCACAAGGAAGGAAGGCAAAGCCAAAAAAAGGTCCTGCAGAAGGAGCAAAAAGGATTGACTCATAAAATGCAAAGCTTGGCATGGGCATTTGTAGAGAGGTGGTACCCACTGTAACTCCACCTTTGAACCCATTTAGTACCTCTACTATCATGATTTCAACCCAGTGTAGAAGAGACCAATTATTGAAAAAAGACCAGGAACACTTCCATTGTGACAAATTGTGTCTACCAGGAACACTTTCATAAGCTTACAGATTGTGTCTACCAGGAGCACTTCAATTGAAACAGATATCAAATAAGTTGGTATAACAGCGCAAACCTCTGAGTTCCAACGCATTGACTTTGGGAACAATATTTTACCAATTGTCCCAGGTAATTCTTCAGATAATACCTGTTCAAGAAAATAAACAGAATAAATTCTACAATTAATGCGATCAGAGTACTAGAATCTAAAGAGGTGGACCTGCACAAAAAAAACAACACCGTTCCAGGAAAGACATCCTGTGGAGCAAAGTTTCAGTTGCTAACTAAAATGCTACTTACACAGCCTCAGCAGTAGGTTGAACTTATAAATATTTACACATGACAGTAAGGTCAGTAATAGTACGTGTTACATTGATTGGGCAGACCAACCTACACTAACTTTAAATGTGCAGATGCAACAGAATGCTTGAGGTCATTAATTATATCAATGTTTTAATAATAACTAGAGGAGGTGACATGGTGTGTTTCGTATATCTTTCTTTTGTGTTGATGTTCTGGGGAGGGAACGGGTTGGTGGTGGTGCTCTTCAATTAGACAGACGACTTGACTTAATAGGGTGGAAGCATAAGGGTTGGTAATTTACCTCCAAAGCAAGTCGTGATGGCTCCACCGCACGAACATAAACATACTCTGTTTTACCTACAATATTTTTCAGATAAAAAGAATTCATTATTAGAAAGAACAAAATAAATTTGGGAAGGATGAGAAATCCTCCCAGAAAATGAGTAGATTACAGGATAACAGCCCTTCAACCCACTCAGTTTTAAATTGACAAGTAGTGATAAGTGCAGAATTACTTCAGTAAACATTAAAGATGTCAAAAAATAATGATAAATGTTAAAAATATCATTCATATGAAATTATGAATGAAGTTTTACTACTTGTATAGGAGCATGCCATCTCAAAAAATTAAGTCCTTGCCAGAAAATTTTCAGCAACCAAACCTCACTACCATTTCATTGTTAGCTCTCATTATCAAAAATGAGGATTCAAAAAGACAGCTAACCAGCTCGAATTAGTCGAACGCCTAATTTGTTCAACAATCTATATTACTCAGAACAAAGTGAAATCTTCAAAGCATCTTTGAAAATTGACAGGTAAATTGCTTGCGCAGAAGATTAAATACAACCAAAAAACGAAAATGGAAAAACTAAGAATTGAAGACCAGTTTATAAAAGGAAGCCTAAACTAAGTATCTACCATAAGCCCTAAAGCATATTACATATGGTGACAATATTAAATCAAAAAAGAATATATGCCAAAAAGCACACATCCAGAAGTGATACCTTCAACCCTTCTAAACAAGGAGCCTAGAGGCACACCATTTCTGCGGCAGAAACCTTCAGCAGCCTAACAAATAAGACGAGTTCAGTTAACATGTATAAATGAGGATATCTCAATATCAAGGTATGGATTAGTTCAAGAACCATTCTATTAAACCCGTACCAAGCAACAAATCAGAGAATGTCACAATTTGATTAAGAAACAAATGCAGAAAAAACATATGTGAAACAATCCTTCCACATTGAACCCTCACGTGAACAATACACGAAGCTAGTGTACTTGACCTAAATCAAATATATGAAGGCATTGAATGCACAAGAACGAAAGTCGTAATCGGTCTAGCAGTACCTTACACTGTAAACATATAATTTATACTGATAGACCAGAGTCACAGTGTCACTAATTTGACTTGCCCATCTATTTCTTGAATTCGGTTATAAGTTAATAGCTGCCTGCCCTTTACTTTAAGCCTCTGTCTGGGAGTGCTTTTAATCCCAATTCTATCAGATTTTAATAGATTGGTCAGAATTTTCGTAATAAAATAATTGACCCAATGCAGTGACCATTTGACTAGGTGCAGGAGGGTAGGAGTGCATTTTATTTTATATATGTAACTTGTTTTACCCTCCATGTGTCCAGCAGAATGACACGACTGTCTCTCAATGATTTTATACTTGCCCAGTAATGAAGGGCAAAAATGGCAGTTGGCAAAGTGCAATCACATTTGACTTGTCAATTGTTGTGGGCATGTAAGGTGTGGCAAAAGTGGGGTCCATTTCAACGGTCAAAAAATCAATTATTTGTGAAAAAGAAGCGCTCCCAGGCAAAGGCTAAATGTTGGATGATTCATGAAAATAAATATTGAAACAACCTTTTAATGTAAATGTAGCATAATTCATGAAAACTAATATTGAAACGAGCAAAATAGAAAAATGGAATTGTAGAGTTCCAGGCAAGGAAGACCTTGGTAGGATTTCCTTCTTTGTCAAATGCCTTCAAAGCTGGAGGTCCTCGAACCTCAATCTCATTTGCAACTTGCTTCGCAGAGAGGTTATGGACGTGTACCTGTACGGCAAATTATAAGAGCAGAGAGAAGCAAGAATAATTGGGATTGCCATCGCAATAATACCAATTTATTATCATAAGCGAATATTTCTACAGTCACCAAAAATGACAACAGACACGTGCAATAAATGGAAGCGAGAGTCGGGTACAGATATCTGCCATCCTCGTATCAGTATAGAAATTTGGCAGGGAAAAAAGGTTGTATTTTCTTGAAGGAGATAGCAATGCATCGTTAGCCCAAAGCACCAATCTATTGGTAACGAGCTATTGCACTAAACAGATTGAAGAAGCATGGCATTTTAGATCAAGAAATTAACTCATTGAAAATGAGTAATTGAATTGGATAAAAGTAATGTTCACATATTTTAACTAATTTCAAAATGCAAGTGGCAAAGAGGTAAGGGTAGAAATAAGAAAAATGGTGATAAGGTGTTAAAATAAACTGGATATTTCTTGAACTTTAAGCCAAAGATTATGTGATGACAATACAAGAGACAGTGGACATAGAAACGAAAGCATTACAATGTTGGATGACAAACACCAATGATCTAAAAAGAAAGGAGAGAAGATGAGGGGCTTTGTTATAATATTATCATTTTTACTGTCCAATATGCAAACCACTTAATTACAAGACTAATAATGATTCAATCAACACCGAGGTTCTTCTAGAATTACATATTGGAAACAGATGATGGAAAAGAATGGATTGTAAGAGAGTAATCAGGAATTGATACTCTATGAACATCATCATGTCTTGAGACCTTAAACAATAACAAATATGCAGGGAGGTGGGGAGTTGCACTCACAAATGAATTCAGCATTTCTGCATTCAGGAGAAATCAAAGCAACTAAACAATCAACATATAACTAAACAAATAAATACATCAAGAAAGTAAACTAGAGCATCAACCCATACCACGAGTCTGCGTGGTGTGCCAAACGTTAGCACTTCCCCATGACTCAATCTTTGTTTTCCCAGCAACTGCTCAATTAGATCTTTGAGCTGCAAAAACCAAAGAAGGATTTTAAATAGGCATTATGAAAGAGATGGAAGGTTGACATCAAGACATTTTTTGAAACATAAATGAAATGGATAACAACCATCTACAAAATGCTACAAGATACATAGCTTCATAAAATAGTAAATGTTTGATAAACAGAATGCTAGAAGATGAAAACAATTTTATATATAAGGAAACAGAAAAGCAAGAAATGAAAATTCGTCAACTTTTGACCAATGAGAAAGTAAAGCTAAGATTTATTTTGAGGGGAACAGGTATGTACTTGCTTGCACGCATTAACTACTTCATTCGGTGGCAACTCTTCGGTCCCAATTTCAAGAACAAATAACCGTGGCTCTGTGGACACCTGCATGACATGGAAATTTTTTGTATCAATTTTTTATCAACCAGTGTTGATATTAAAAATTACTTATACTGGGGATATCTAACAGTTGATGTTGATCCCATTTCAGATAGTTAAATTAAAATAAGTATTTGCTCATCCATAAATAATTTTAAAAAATCAAATTATATAACCTATCCACTGTAATTGAATTTTTAGCAATATGGAAAAACAAATCCATACTTTTCAATAAAAATAGATAAAATCTGTATAGAATCACTCCGATACTCTTCAATTAATAGCAACTCCTTAAATTGTTAAGAGTTTTAACGAAGTCAGACGTTCTTAGGAAATTCTTAAGGGTATGAGAACTTCCAAAAATTGAACAGTAAAATTAGAAAAATAATGAGTTAAATTTGCCAATAGCCACCGAAGTTTGTTAGAAATTTCAAAATGGTCATTAATGTAATTTCTTGCTCCATTAGTTACTAAAGTATATAATGATATCACAGATTGTCACTCGGTTAGAAAAGCTCACATAAAATCCTACTTATTACCGTTAAAAGTTCCAAAGTGGACTAATAGAAGTTATTCCGTTGGCTGTGCAAGACATTATCGTGTTTTCATAAAACAATCGTAAGTTTCTGATTTATGGTTCTGTGTTTGAAAATTAGGCTGAGTCTAATCTTATCTGAAATATAGGTCATTTTTATCACTTATTTAAATGGAAACGCAATAATATCTTGTGCACAAGATGAAGTATGTTAGTCCACTTTGTCACTTAACGCCAACACATAGGAGTTTACGTCAATATTTCTAGTTGTGTGACCATTTATGAAACCATTATAAACTTCAGTGCCTAATAGACTAAGAAATTAATTTTATAACCATTTTCAAATTTCTTACAAGCTTCAATGACCCGAATACTAATACATTTGTTCAAAAGCATCATTCCTAATCCTCAAAGTCTGGGGGACGATGGTAAACGTGAGGAACGAGACCCAATAGTCAAAGGCTCAAAGCAGAAAGAAAGAGAAGAGTTAGAACAATAAGGATTAGTGAGCACTCTCCCGGATCCATATGCACTTAAGAGAGAAGGTAGCCCTTTGTCCCGGGCTGGACTCAAAACAGCACCTCCGGGTAACGAGTCGGATCTGGGGGTCTAGGGGGGACCATCCTCTCTAAGCCTATTCCCTAGGGACCTATATAGGTCCTACACTTGTTGAGTTAGGCCAAGGGGTTAGTTAGAATCAGGAAACCAATACCGGTCAAGGATTAAGAAAATATGTAAAAGAAGAGTAGGACAATGGAAAGAAACTATAAAAAGATAAGAAATTAACAATTATAAAAGACCCAGGAAAAAAATGAAGAAGACTGATAATTTGACATGCACCATAAAAATTAAGTGCCTGATATTTGCAAGTAACTCAAGCTAGGAAACCTTATTGCATGTAGTTAACATGTTCAAATTTAAAGAATATATACAGAGAGAAGAACTCAGATCTTTAGTAATGTTGAAGAGCTGGTCTAGAGTAAAAATGTAGCACAATCTTGTGCATTCACAGAGCTCTCTGTAGAAAGTTTTTCTACAGGTTTAAAGGCCACCATGCAGTAACCAGAGTGAGAGGAAAGGTGAAATGAGGGACACGTTAAGAGGCTTCAGCTTTTTAGTTTCTAGAGAAGTACTTCCCATCAACAGATCAAAATAAGAGATTTATGGGAGCCTAAAGGTAGAGATATGTATCTTTTAGTGACAGGCTTTTTGAGCTTACTCTATGTTGTTTCTTCTTATTGCTTCCTCTTTTTGGTAATATAATTAATACACTAGCATTCTATGCTATGCAGCATATTCACAAGTTCTACTCACTAAGGCCCAGTTGCATACTCCTGATGAAGTGTAATTGTGTTCTGAACAGTCAGCACATAGCAAAGGAAGTTATCTATTGAAAGCATCTAGCAATCTTATTTATTTTCCCCTGGACAATGATTAAAAAACTGATTTCCACATTTTTGTGCTCTACATATATGCTAAGCTTTATGAACTACAAAGCTAAGAAGATAAAAAGAAAATGCAGGAGCAAATAGTATGAAGCTTCAGATTGCACACAAGAAGAGATATTTTCTATCTATCAAATTAACAAAGATAAATCTAAAGTTTCTAGAAGTAAACCTTTCCTGCTGCTTCCTCTAGGACTTCTTTTGGAAACACAAGATGATCAGATTGAGATGCAACTCCCAAGGGATATCCAAGAGACTCCCTCGTCTTTAACCAAAGTTGTGCGCATTGACGAGCTAAACTGGACAAACGTTTTACACATAATTTTGAACAAGTCAAATATCAGGACAAAAGACTGCGTTCAAAGTATGCAAGTGGTTGTGAGGAGAATTACTAGTAAAGAGATGCTAGTTGTCGACAAATACAGGTAAAGGGCTGAAATAGAAGTGTATCTTCCGATGTAATTAATACAGGTAAAGGGCAGAAAGAAAAGTGTATCTTCTGATGTTATTTCTTAAAGTTTCATGTGTTTCCCTAAGAGTATGGTTTTATCTAGTCCAGATTGGAAAAATATGGAAAACATTACCAATCATCTTAAAGATTAATTGCTAATCCTATATTACCGAGAGCAATAATAACACAAAACAGTACCAGGAGGCCTACCACTCCCAGACCACCCCAGTAGACCTTACCACGAACGTTGAACAGCAGTCAAGGGGAAAAGTATGAAGTATATTAGGTTCTACAAATCTCACAAGCATTTAGTTACATCCATATCATAAAATAGCAAACCTCACCTACGCATCCGACCAAAATAGCGAGCACGTTCCGTTACCCCAACAAACCCTCTAGAGTCCAATATGTTGAAAGCATGAGATGTCTTCAAAAGCTGATCATACCTAACATGTCATAGAAATACAGAGATATCTGTTGATCAAAATAATGACTAACCAAAAGTTTCTCAATTTCATTTCACAAGTCAAGGACCAAGCATATAAAATAAAGATAAGTACGCAGGAATTGCAAGGCCTGAATCGAGCAAACAGCGAGCTTCAGCCTCAAAAAGGTCGAAATGCTTATGAATGTTATCGACACTGGCATGCTTCAGATAATATGCGCTCATTTCCTTCCTGCAACAGGACACATAGGTCATAACTCTTCTTATGCAAAGACTAAGGATTAATAGGAGCTTGGGGAAGGTGAAAAGTATAGGAACAGAACATAACGAAAAGAATATAACACCCTAAATAGTCAGGTTTAGAACATCAAAACAACTAAGGGAAAAATTTGACATAAAGAAGACAGATGAACTAGAAATATGAATTGTACACTACAGGGGGAGAGAGGGAAGATAGGGACAGGAGGAAGAATGCAAAAGAGGTCAACTTAGCATTGTATGGTAAGTAATAGGCCGAGACTTGCAACTTCCTAAATACAAGAGATACATCAAAGATTTCCAACAGCCTAAATTGAAGTTAAGAATTCTATTTATGTCCTTTGAAGATTTTTTTTCTTAAAAATAACTCTTCAGTTCTTCGAAGAACGGAAATGAATTCATATAAAACCAAACAAGTACACAATTTCAATAGCTCACTCCCTTCTTTTTTGCTTTCTATCATGTGTGAAAATCAAATATTCTTTATTTGAGATTTCTTCCATTACAACTCATGCTTAAGAAAACATCGCAAATAATTAGAACAATAGAATTTGTGCATATTGCTTCATGGTAGTCAATTCTTATTGGGAGAAAAGATAGTATACTAAGCAGCTTATTAACTCATTTTCCAAAAAAAGCTCTCCGTATGTTATCCCATCAGCATATTGAATTTTCTTGAAATGATCAACTCCCTGCAGATAAATTTTAACAAACTTTAGCCAAGCATGTCTACTAGCAAATAGAATAAGTAATCTCAATAGAATTAGAGGGACCTGAAGCAACATAAGGATCCGTTCAAGACCATAAGTAATCTCAACAGATACAGGCGTTAATTGAAGACTTCCTGCCTGGAAAACAGGAAATTTATTCAAATATAAGGACAAAACACGTTATATATTTATGACGAATGAAGCTGCTCAATAAATGTCACAAAATTTTTTTTAAAAAATCTCATTCTTGGTAAGTACAAGTTCATATTTCACAAATTGTAGAAGTGCTTGTAATCTGAGAAAGGGAGAGGACCTGCTGGAAGTAGGTGAATTGAGTGATCTCCATCCCATCCATCCAAATTTCCCAGCCCAATCCCCAAGCACCTAAAACCTACCAGTAATCAGAAACAAGAAAGATTATCAACCAATAAAATACTCATTTGGGGGGAAATGAATTGTTTCCCTATGCCAGTCCTATATCACTAGGCAAGAGCAGAAAATGAGGAACAAAATGAAAAGGTTAGATTCAACTCACACGTGTATTTTATGTATACATGTACGATTTATACACCAATTAAGACAGGCAGCCTTACCGGGCTCTCCCAGTTGTCCTCGACAAAACGTATGTCATGGTCATGAACATTAATACCTATCAACCATTACACAGGAAAAATTATGCCAGTATAAATTAACAAATCCTAAAAAATCTGTAAACATGGGAAGAAAGTGAACTACAGGCGGTAGATTAATAGAGCAAGCCAGTAATGAATAAATGATTAAAGAAAATTCACTGTCAACTTCTTTTAATTTGATTAGTATCAATTAGTTTACTTGAGAGAACTGACAGGCTGTTCAAACTAATACTGATACAATACCTCAACTGACATTACGCAGAATGCTATAATGATTAATGACTGGTGCCAATCCTTTCCTAGATAACGAGGAAAAATGATGAGAGGAACCACATGGACGGCCATCTAAGCTACAATTTTATCTCTGTAAAATTGTTTTTTGGCCATTGCAAAATGGAGTTTTGATAGTTGTAATGTGGCCATTACAGTATGGGGTTGCCATTTTACAGGAAAAATAACTTCAGCAGCAAAAACTTAGTCTCTGTGTGTGTCTGTGTGTAATGCTATAATGATTAATGACTGGTGCCAATCCTTTCCTAGATAACGAGGAAAAATGATGAGAGGAACCACATGGACGGCCATCTAAGCTACAATTTTATCTCTGTA